CATTGACGGTGAGTACCAAATTCTTATTTAAAACACAATATATTTGTAAATGTTTATAAATCTATTCTAAAATATTTAAAATGAACTAGTATATTTTTTTACACAAAGGATTCACGTTTATTACTGTATAAAATGTTTTCTCTTTTCCAAAAAATTTATTTCGCAGAAACTATGTTTCTAAAATGTAAGAAGGAAAATGGCTGCTATGCCAATAATTCGTTTTGATCTTAAAGATCAAAACGAAGTGATCGGCCAACTTCAATCTGATTATCTATTCCTTATTTATAGATAATTATCTACGCAAATAAATGTTCAACCATATTTCATCTCATAAAAGCGATATTTTGACATGAAACTTTACGTATTTGTGATAAAGCTAGAAACTTGCTACAATGCCAGATTTTGCAATTTAGTTCTTAAATAATTATAATATAAATATGATCATTTATTATATTTTATTTCTTATTTATTAGCACAAAACTTGCTTGAATTCAATCATATTTCATCTCATAAAATTTTGCCATGAGACTTTTTTCTACATATTTATTATAAAGCTACAGAGTCAGATTTTGCAATTTGGTTCTCTTTACAATAAATAAAAATATCTTACATCTTGTTGCATTAATAGTGTAAATTTAATGATACATTAAAATGAATTTATTTATTCTTGTTTTTTTTTTAAATCACTCTGTAGCAGCCTGCACTGGTTATCTTAATTATAAATATCGTAATTACAATTCTCTCAGTATCTTGGCTGTAATATGGATGAATTCATTTAAAACAAATGTCTCCATAGTTGTTTCTCCTGTCGATCCTTAAAATTTACAAAGAGATTCGAAGAAATTTTGGCGGGATCTCGTTATCGTATTCTTTACAGCTTGGCTGATTGCTAATTCTGTTAAATCTCTCGCTAATCTTATTCCACTTACTTAGTTTTAATCGTGTCTTAATTGTTCTAACATTCTCCATAGTCAAGGAAAAGTTTTTAAGGGAATCTCAGAGCGACGCGCATAACTAACTTTTCTCTTAGGCGCGAACGCGGGAACGCGTATACGAAAGAGTCGACGGGAAAATCGTGACTCGTGGCGCGATCTGTCGGGCGCCCGATTTACCGACGTTCCTAGCAGGTTGTTTCAAGCGGCCTGTTCGCGGCGTCAACATCAAGCGTCAGTTTACAAATGGTTGACACCGGGTGTGGTGTCAAATGACGCGAGCTCCTGCATGTCGAGCCAAATGTTTTGATAGTTGATCTACGAATTATGAAGCTACTCTTGTACCTAGCATTGTTGCAGAATACTTGTATTTTTGTACGAGCCGTAAATAACGCCGGGAACATGACGGAGCCGAGGTAACGCGTCGCGCAGCTCCGGCTTGAGGTTACGTAGGCCGTGAGAACGCGCACTTTTTTTTAGATAACTCAGACTTTCGAGCACAAAGCCGATATCATTGATAAAAAGTCAGACAGCTCGACGACGATCGATCTTTCTGCATCGATCCGCTCCGAATTTCGACGGACGATTGCGAGAAATTCAACTTTTTTCTGAATTTGTTAAGGTTATGTTTTGAAATAACAGCGCGGTTATTCCGATCCAAATCTTCACATAAAAATATCATAGATCATCATTATTCTTTCAATTGTGAACGTAGGTTTGCTCCAGTTGTTTGTTTAAAAGAAATTTATATTGAAAAAAAGAATTCGAGTCATGAAAACTTTGTATGAAGAATATAATCTTTGTGAGTACTTTTTTCTATGAATAAATAAATAATATATGTAACTTGTATTTGTTTATTGTTATTAGCATGGGGAATGGAGATATGTTGGACCTCTCAGGAAGTGGAATGTCTACACCTCATATTTCTCACTTGGCATCCGCAAATCCATTCAGTATACTTTCGCCACAACCAACCAGTTCACAATCCAGCACCCTGGATTTCAATACAATTAGCGGCCTTACTAATGGCAATATACAATTCCCTCCTAATGTGAATTTTGATGAAATATCGAGCATAAGTTCAGTTTCAGGCAGAAAGGACAATCATAAAGGAACTTGTGAGGTTTGTGCTTGAATATAAATAAATTATGATCTTGGATATAAAGAAAATAAATATAAAATAAATTAAAATCTTTGATGTATAGACCTACAACATGATTAAATTTTTGCAGGTATATGTAGGAAAAACATGTGCACAGTTTGTAGGAAACCAATCAGTTTATATTATATATCCCATGACACAGAAGATGCTCGAAGAAAAACTAATGAAGGCCTTTCAAGTTATTAATTTCTCAAAGTACGTGGTTTTAAAAATTTAAAATATGTTGAAATAAAATTTATGTAAAATTTATATAAAACAACATTGATATTGCTTGTTAAACAAGGTAAAAAATTAAAATGTTTTACATAATTTTGTTATACAGCGAGCTCTCGTCAAATTGCGAAGGGTATGCCAAGCCATCTCTTTGCTATTCCGCCTTTCCGATATGCCGCGACCCATCAAACAGTCAAAAACCGAAAAATGCAGAGGCGAGCACGCAACTTTTTAATCTTCTGAATTCCAAGCATGATGATTTCTTAGACGACAGAGATCGCGATGACGCGGATGATTTTGCGAAGCATAGTGTCCCCAAACGTAGTCCTACCTTGGGTCCGGTTTTTGACTTCATGCCCAATGAAGATGGAAAGTCGAGCAATAAGAAGATAATTAATCAGAGTTATGGTGACGCACGAGCGTCCAGTAGAAATGAAATTAATCGCAAATTACGAAGAATATGCCGGGAGGAGTGTGAAATGCTGGAGAATGAATTGTGCAGAAAGGAATATGCGATAGCAAAGAGACATCCTTTAATTGGACATCAATTACCTTTGGTTGAATGTTCTGACTTACCACTGGAAGGAACGACTGAAGCTCGTGACTGCTTGACACTCGGATTATCCGCGGCAAACAATGTTCAAGAAAGTATGTAGCTTTCTACATTAACTTTTATTAAAGATCTAATGTATAAGAAATTTGATATTTTTTTAATATACATATATATATTTTGTAGCATGGCAGGATTCTATAAAAGGATTCTATTATTATACAAGTTTGGCACATTTGAAATGAGACGTTTACTAAATTGATTTTAGTTTTCTAACCCTTTGTACATCAAAATTTTATAACCTGGACAAACTCATCAAACATGAAGAAACACAAATCGACACGAATTTTTGGCTCTAAAAAAAATACACACAAACCTTATAAACACTTGCTCAGCTAAGAAATAAAATTTTATTTATGTATGCTTATTTAAATACCATTACATTTACGATTGAAAAACAGAAATGTTAATTATTTTTTTGTTTTGGATTTTTAATGTATTGTTAAACTATTATTAGTTATTATAAGATAAAAAGATAAATATTAATTGTTTAATAAAATATTCTTCATTTATTTTTTATTAGCAGACAAAACATTGCGGACACTTGATTTTTGAACGATTGAAATTTAAATAGTTTACAATGTATCATGTTTCTCTTACAGATGATTACTGTTATTGGGGTAGTGGAAAATCTTATCGAGGAACTGTGAAAACGAGTGTTAGTGGAAGACCATGTTTACGATGGTCACATCACTTTAATCTTCCGATTTCTGATAATCCCGAATTAGCTGGACGTCATTCTTATTGCCGAAATCCTGGCGGAAAGGAAATTCAACCATGGTGTTATGTCGATGTCAATAATAGAATGCAAAAAGAATTTTGCAATATACCTAAATGTGGTAAGTTATTGTAAGATATATGCAATAAATATATTTTGTTTATTATATATGAACTTAATGAAAAATATATAATATTTTTATTACTTTCAGTTGAAAATTTATGGATTTATGCGGTTGTTGGTTTTGTACTAACAGGAGGATTTGTTATTATATTAATTTGTTATTGCTGCTGCTACAGAAGTAGAAAATCCAGAAGGCAAATGAATCATTTACCATCCAATAAAGTAAATATATCAGTACATATATAATATATCAGTATATATATATGCATTCCTCTCCAATTATGAGTTACAATTAGATAATGTCATTGAAATTATATTTTTTAAATAGATGTTAACTAGTATTCAATGTGATAAGAACATATATGATGGGAGGAGAAGCACGACACAGCCTATGGAAATGAGCTCTCTTTTAGCAGGGCCTGGTAATACAACACCAGGCACTGGTACTTTAAGTAGTGGCAGTAGTAGAACTTCTAATAATAGAATACCGCAATTTACTACAAATAATATCGTGCTCTTGCAAGAACTTGGTGAAGGTGCTTTCGGTAAATATGAAAAAAATTAGTTTTTATTATGTTTAAATTCGATAAATAATGTTTCTTAAATTATTATTAATTATATGTCTCCAGGAAAAGTTTACAAAGGCGAGTTGCAAACCGGAAATAAATGTGAACCACCTATTTATGTAGCGGTAAAAACACTGAAGGAAAATGCAACTCCAAAGACTCAAAGTGATTTTAAAAGAGAAGTCGAACTCATGACGGATTTGCGGCATCCAAATATTATTTGTCTGCTTGGTGTAATATTGAAAGGAGAACCAATGTGTATGCTTTTCGAATATATGACACAGGGAGATTTGCATGAATTTTTAATCTGTCACTCTCCAAGATCGGATGTTCCATTAAATAACAGTGGTGGAAAAATTCTCGAGCAACCGGAATTTTTGCATATTGCTTTACAAATTGCTTCTGGTAGGATTTATTTTCTAGATTAGATTTTATATATTAAATTAATATAATTTTGTTATGTACAATAATTGTTTTTCTTAGGCATGGAATATTTGGCTAGTCATCATTATGTCCATCGCGATTTGGCAGCGAGAAATTGTCTAGTAGGCGATAATTTAACAGTCAAAATCTCAGACTTTGGTTTATCACGAGATATATATAGCAGTGATTATTATAGAGTACAATCCAAGAGTTTACTTCCTGTTCGATGGATGCCACCTGAGTCGATTCTTTATGGTAAATTCACTACCGAGTCGGATGTGTGGAGTTTCGGAGTTGTACTCTGGGAAATCTATAGTTATGGTTTGCAGGTAAAATCAAAGTAAACATCAAATTAAAAGAAATAATTTCTGAATTTTTTCTTATGTATGCACCTATTTTTATTCAGCCGTATTACGGGTACAACAATCAAGAAGTTATAGATATGATTCGCTCGCGACAATTATTACCATGTCCTGAAGATTGCCCGACAATGATTTATAGTCTGATGATTGAATGTTGGCACGAGGTAGCGAATCGTAGGCCACAGTTTCCGGAAATTCATCACCGGTTGCATAATTGGTACATAAATCAAACCTACTTGAGCGACTTCTGCAACGAGTCTATTACCAGTTACTCCGGTAGTAGTCATAAGAGCACGAACAAGACCAACTCGACGCAGCTATCGGCGCCAATATACAAGAGTGATCAGAAAACGTGCACGGAGCCAGCGACCGTCTGCAATCTTAACGATCACAATAACGCGATAAAATTGATACCACCAACAAATACTTTTACAAATTCTAACTGCATCGAGCAGAGACCAAACTGCGGTTTTAACGCGGAACACGGAACACCGATAAAAACGTCTAATTATCAAAATCCCACTACGAATGTCAATCTGAATGATATATATGATGACAAACAATGTTGCTCGCCTAAATTGAGTGGTGCGAAGAAAGTTTTACCTGCGGTGATACCTCAAACAGGTATTCCCAAACCGAACATGCCCAGCAATGGTCCGAGACCAATGCAAAATGGCGCACAACTGGTTGTCAGGTTACCGGATCCCAGTAAAGTTATAACTGAAACGAGAGTATCAAAGTGAAAATTTCACTCATGGTCATAAATAATTCACCTTTGGTCAAATAAAACAGTTACTAATTTCCAATAGGAACATTAGCTTCTTCTCGCTTGTGTTCTCAATATCAAAGATTTGAAATTTAACAACCTTATTTGCTATTGAAGCATCTGAGATGTATCGAAATGAAGAAAAAGAAACGATCACGAATGCATATATTTGCCGTAATTTAATCTAATGAAAATATATGTTTATTTTTACTATCTGATACTTTTTTTCGATAGTATTAAACGAATAGAGCAGACAGCTGCTAAAACAACTGCCATATATACATTTATTTATTTTTACAAATATATATGTATTTTATATTACCTTTTATTTTGGTATATATGACATATTTCCTTACGAATCTATTGGATAATTCTTTTGGATGATATCGAACAAACAAATGATAAATACAAAGAGCAGCTACAATACTTAATCACTGCCATATACATGCATTTATTTATTGTTATAAATATACACGTATTTTATAATATATATAATATTGCCGTTTATTTTGGATGGTATATACATATATATCTAATGTCTCACATAATTTAATACAATCTAATTTAATACATATATACATAGAATATAGAACCAGATATCGTGTTCTAATGATTCCATTTGTGACTATAATAATACAACACAATAGAAAATCTTTAAGATTTGCCCTTTTATTTTTGAAAAGATAGACATTCATTAAAACATTATACTAGCGAATATATGTATAATTTTTACATTCATTTGTAAGATCTATAAGAGAAGTGAGAGATGATTCTATTTCACAAAAAACAAAAATAAATTCTCTTATGAAATATGATATCAATGTATGTTGATATCTTCATTAAAACAAGTGTTTAACCATGTGCATGCTCTATCCAAAGAGTATAATATTGTATGGAATATATATTGTTATGCTCTATATAAGGCATACCCCTTATGAATCACGTTTTTAAATAATCTTTACAGAACTGTTCAAAAAGATTCGTATATGCGGGCAATCGGATATATATTGTAATAAGCAAAAGTGTGGAAAAAGAAAGAACAACAAAGAAAAGTATGTACGTACGTATGCATGTATTTTCTGAATGTGATGTGTATGTATGTGTGTATGTGTGCTGAGATGTTTTCTAAAAAGCAATTTTTATAATTGTCATATCGTATGCCAAAACCTGGATAGTAAATATTGACTGTTAATGAAAAGATACTCAATTTGTACATTTTTATAATAATTACATATGTATCTTTTATCTGTAAATCTTTGAGGTCACTCTTTCAATCGAAAACGTAATTTATTATTGAAATTGTTGTACAATACGAATACATATTGATTGAAATATGTTACATATATAAATGCAGTAATTCAATGAAAGATACAAGAATTAATTAATATAATGTTTGTGACTTCCGTATGTCATCACGTATTGTTAGTGTTCACATATATTAATATCAACATAAATGTATTCACTACTAATAAAAGATAATTTAGTAATAAATATATATAAAAAAAGATAATTTATTATTAAATTATCTTTTAGCTAAATTTTTCAACCGCTTCCTATATTTTTAGCCGTGTATTCTTTTTAACATTCTTAGACCTCAAAGACACAAACGACTGAGACTTGATATTCACAAACACTTAGTGATGTTAAATGGAAAATTTTATCGGCATTCTTGTATAAATTACATGTTATTCGTATAGGACGCATGATATAATTCTAACAGGCGCTAAAACATTGTCACTTAATTCGATACTGGATTGAGCAACATGATGAACTTTATGAAATTAATGCCCACTTTAAAGTAGTGAGTATTAATGCAGAGCGATTAGCGAATGGAATGTAGATTTGAAGCATTCACAAAAAGGGAAATTGTGTATTATACTTTTTATAATTTTATATTAATGAAAAGAAAACATGAAGTGTGTTTCGTTCGTTGGAGAAAGATGAAAGAAAGACTAGACTTAACGATATTGTCTGATTTTCAACTCTCGTGTCTGTCAACTGGACGGACAATAATTGAAGAGTGCGCGAAAGTGCTATTGAGTTAAATAAGACTTTTAGAATTGACGAACCTCCGAACCGAAATTTATATCGATTGTAATCCCGACCGTCTCGAAGGTTTGCCAGAAACTTAGATTTAAGTTAATTTATGTAAACTTCAGCAAAGAATTATACACATTTAAGACCTTTATATATTCAGTCAAATATAATATACAATTCATGTTTTTCGTATTTAACGACTTTTATTTCCCTCTGTTATGAAGAAATATTGAATAATTATAATAAATTGTGTGATTTACAAAAAATCATTATTGCATATTATATCTTTAACAATTTGTACGTATTTGTATATGTGATAAATAATTGTAAAACGAATAATAGGTTTTTTTACTTCTATGTTTCTATCAATAATTAATCTTTATACATACACATACACATTTCTTTACATGATATTCATACATCAGATTATATTATTTACAATTTGTAAATGATATTTTATAACAATCAACATTTATCTATATATTACGAATTTATACTTTAAAGATAATTGATTTTAATTCTTTAAAAGATTTTATTTTATATTGTGACAATTCTATTCTATTTGACGTTTTGAGCATTAAATAATATTTATTATAATATTTTAACTAAATTATTTTTTTATATACAATCTGTAAGTGACATTTATGATGTCTATTCAATGATAGATAATTATTGATTCACATGTTTTATCAATATTATGAAGTCACGACACGTATTGATGACCTCAATTCGGTTTCCGCATTAGCTTCGCTGTATGATAACAAATTGATATATCATTAAGGCACTAAGCAATTTGACTAGGAAAAAGATACATGCTTATCGTGCAAATCACGTTAGCGATTTAAAATTGATTAGAAGTATATCTTTAGCGCGATTTACGTAAAAAACTGTTATAAAGCGGACGCATTAAATGCATTGCATATTTATATTCTAATTCTACAATTTATAAAACATGAATTTACTTTTATCGATAGTGGAAAGTTCTAATCAAAGAAAGAATAATTAATGAATCGATATCACTGTAATATTAATATTATATATTTATATATTTTTTTCTTTCTCTCTACGAAGAAAATATAATGTTTTAAAGATTAAATTTGCATACAAAAGAACTGAAAAGATACTATCAATAATACATTAATATCATTTGTCAATTTCATTTATCTCTCATTCTATTATCTTTCCTCATTCTATTATCTTTCCTCATTACAATACAATCAAGGATAATTATAATTTTTCTAATTATACTATTAACAAAATAAGATATAACATTATTGCAAATCAACAAAAAACGTGCAGCGTCTCTTTGTGAAATAATATTATTCCCGACTACGTTGTCTTACGTTGCCATTGTCCTAAACAATGAATGGCGTGATATGGAATAAGATAAAGAAGACTTTCGTACCAATTTCCAGTGTGCCGATATATGCCATCATGCAGCAAGAACGTCTTAGACAAAGTCGAATATTGGAAACCCACAATTTTCAATTGGAAAACTTGACTTTAACGTCCTTTCAGGTATGCTTTCATAAAATGCAAATAAGTTCCTGGATGTCTTACGGTATCTCAATTTTTCTTATTAAAATTAACTTGTTAATTTTCATTTCATTTAATTTTCATAATTAATAATAACTAAATAATTTTTATATGGAAATATTTATATTATCTTAGATTTTTTAAGTTATATTCATTAAAAATCTCACACTTTTTATATGTAACTTTAATTTACAAAAGTTTATAAAAAACATAATTAGATAATTAAAGTAATCACAAAAATAAAATAATAAAAAGAGAAATTATATTCTTAAAAAACATATAAATTTATTAAGTAAGTAATATGATAAAAGATCCTCTCTTTACGTTAGAATAAAATAATCAAATTATACTGTTTCTATCATTTAATAATGTTATATGATTTATTAAATAATTACAATATAAAAAAATATAAATTGACAGCAAAGGTAAATAATAAATTTTTTTAAATTATATTTTAGGAATCGCAATTTTTCGAATTTTATGACAATGATACGAAAGTTACAGGATTATGCGGTGAATTATGGAATCTTCTCTCTGAAAAATTAAATTTTACGTAAGATTGAATAATAATATAATAATAATTGAATATAATTATATTATCATGAGATTAATTACTGAAGAAGTCAAACAATATAGTCAAATGCTTTATATTCTTAGATTACAGCCAATAAGATCAAACGAAACCAGTTTAGGTAAACCAGATAAAAATAATAATTATCCGCATGGATTATTAAACCTAATGTTTCGTAATGGAAGTATAGCGATACCAAAAATCGAAACATATATTAATCGACTCAAAGTTGTTGATTTTACAATTCCTTTATGGATAAACAAGTATATTTAAGTGCTCTTCTTTATGATTATATGCATATCCTTTAAAGCATTGAATAGAGACGAAATCATATATCTTTTTGTTAAAGGATTTCGTTAAAAAATTTACGTTATTATGTTATTATAGATTTCCATCATGCTATGGTGAAATATAATAATCTTAGAACAATTTTTTAGCCAACGATTTTATATTCATCATGAAGTAGTACATGACAGCGCATGGATGACAAAAATATTTTCCTGGAAGATATGGTGCTGTATATTGGTTACATATCTACTGCTAAGCGTATTTAGTTTTTGGTCACAGTTTGTTCTCACACGAATTGGAAATAATTATAGACATGCATTCATCGGCGATCACATGTTTTATAACTTTGGAATGTTATGCAATCAAAGTATGAATAATTAATGTGACCATTTCATCTTTCTGTTCTTCAAACGTATTCAAATTGCTACAAAATTCAAAAGCATTTTATATATATTACAACACATTCATAAAGAATTCATGATTATATATTTTATATATTTTTCTGTGAAGACAATTTTTTTATAGAACTTGTATGATTTGAAAATCAGATTCTGAATATTGTAAAAATGTTATAGTTGTGCAAAAATTAATACTTTTTTAAAACAATATAAAAATAATGTGCTTGCTATAATCGACATTTTGCCGAAATAAAATGATTTTTAATTATATAATAATGAAAGATTATTTTAAATAAAATAATTATAATAGGCAATATCCCCGATGTTCTTGTTGGAAGATCAAAAATATTGGAATTATCGTTTGGTCTTTTTTGTTCTTTATTGTACATGGCATTTGGTGCTGTATTATTTATTTTTATAACAAAAAAATTAACGTTATACCACCATTTAAAAATCTGGATTCTCTGATAAGGGATACTACATATAATGTTGTCGTTCTAAACGGTTCTATCGGATATATCGGATTTCAGGTATCAATAAAATTTATCCTACAGATTAGAAGTTATAATTAATGATTTATTAATTCTCATTCTCAAATTATTTTAAGTAAATTTGCTATTCGGAATATAAGGCTTAATATATTTATGATGTTGTACTTTCGGAATATAAGGCTTAATATATTTATGATGTTGTACTTTCTATATGAATATATAAATATAGACAGTTTCGAAAATTTACAGAGCATGGATGAAGAAGCTATACGAGCAAACAAAGCAAAACGCGTTAACATTGTGTCAACAGTCGAGCAAATGTATAAAATGGCGTGTGGCAAAATACAAAGAGGTACAAAAAAATATACTATATTCCAAGGTGAGGACGAGCACAAAACGCGAGACAAAATATGTCATACGATCCCAATGGGGGATAAATATATGACGGTGTGGATAACTTCGGGCATCGTAAAGAATTTCAAGTATAAGAGGACTATCGATCTTGGGTAAATTTTGCGGCAGTTGTAATAATTATAATTTTATATTACACTAACATGTTATGAGAATGAATTATTTTTATAAACAGGATACTCAGATTGAAGGAAATTGGATTGTGGGATGTGTTAAAAGATCGTTGGTTAAATGAAAAATTCTTACCGAAAGACGATGAACTGAAAGGAATTGGAATGGATCAAGTTTTCTTAATAATTTTAATGATGTGCTGTGGAATAATAATAGCTCTTCTTATTTTTGTAATCGAGAAAATTGTATACGCTTATAAATTTAAATTATCGTAAATATATTTGATATATTTATATATTAGTAATTACATATTAGCATTAATTATTTAACTTGCATAGACATAAGATTATCATATTATCGTAAAAGTTATTATTATTGAATCAAAATTAACGCTGTAATTGTAAAGAATTACTGTATTAGTTAAATATAATTATTTATGAATAATGTTAAGATTTCAATTTCCTTGAATATTTTGAGATATCTTAATTATGTCAAACATTCTACCGTTATATAAATTAAATAAAATTTAATTATAATATAAATAAAATTTTATTTCAATTTAATTATCTATGTATTTTATATATATATTTCAAAATTATAATAATTAATTTTAATTTTGTTTTAAAAGATTTCAATTTATATATTTATATTGTCCAAAATAGTTGATAATAATTTGTTTTATCTGACGTTTTAATCGTTGAATAATAATATGTTTTAGCTAAATTATCTTTTCATGTACAATCTCTAAGTAACACTAATGATGTTTATAATAGGTAACTATTGATTCACATGTTTTATCCATATTATGAAGTCACGACACGTTGATGACCTCGATCGTTTCGGTCTCCGCATTAACTTCGTCGTATGATAAAAAATTGATGTACTATTAAGGTACTGAGCAATCTAACTAGAAAAAGATACATAATTAACATGCAAATCACGATAGCGATTAAAAGCGATTAGCCATGAACATGAAAATGACATAAGCAAATTGTACTATGGAATGTATCTTTAACTCTACGATCTACATTAAATCTACATTAAAATTATTATAAAGCAAATGCATTGAATACATTTCTTTTGTAATCCTGCAATTTGTAAAATATGCATTTATTTCTATCGATTTTGCAAAGCTCTGATCAAAAATAATCAGTAGACAAGCATTATTGTAATATTGTAATATTGTAATGTGCATTTAATTTTTCTTCTGTTCTGAAGAAAATTAACGTTTTAAAGATTAAATTGGCATCTATATTGCAGAAACAAATGTTACGATACATTATTACTAATAATTTCATTTATCTCTTATTCTTTCTCAGTATCTCATTATCTTTTATTATGGAGAATGCGATTAAGAATAATTTTCGGAATTATATTAATATGCAACAAAATAGGATATATCATCATTGTTGTAAATCCGCAAAAGGCGTACAGAGCATTTTTGTAAAATAAACATTATTCCCGGTTACATTATACGTTATTGTCCAAAACAATGAACGGTGTGATATGGAATAAGATGAAGAAGACTTTCATGCCGATTTCTAGCGTGCCGGTGTATGCCATGCTTCAACAAGAACGTCTTAGACAAAGTCGAATATTGGAAACCCATAATTTTCAAAAGCAAAACTTAACTCTAACGTCTTTCCAGGTAGGTTTTTATAAAATGTAAGTGTTCCTGAATATTCTGTGTATATATCTTAATTTTTTAATTAAAATTAGTTTGTTAATATCCGATAATAAATTATCAATTGGACAATTTTTATCTGGAAATATTCTTATTGCTTTAGACCTTCAAAGCTACATAAAATATTTTGCATTTTATATATATATATATACATATATAATTTTAATTTACAGAAAGTTCTAAGAAAACATAATGAAGTAATTCAAATAATCACACAATGATGAAATATTATATTCTTAATTTAAAAACATAAATTTATTAATTATAAATAATATATGCAAAAATTTTTTATATTAGGATATACACCAAATTAATTATTGCTCTTATCATTTATAATGAAATTATATAATTATAAATAGTTACAATATAAAAAATATGCACTGACAGCAAAGATGAATAATAATTTTTTTAATTGTATATTTTAGGAATCACATTTTTTCGAATTTTATGACAATGATACGAAAGTTACAGGATTATGCGGTGAATTATGGAATCTTCTCTCTGAAAAATTAAACTTTACGTAAGTTTGAACACATAATTAGATCACTGTATGTTATTATGAGATTAATTACTAAAGAATTCAAATAGTATAATCAAATGTTTTATATTTTTAGATTACAGCCAATAAGATCAAATGAAACCGGTGTAGGTGCACAAGATAAAAATCTTACTTATTCATACGGATTATTAAGTGTAATTCTGCGTAACAGAACTATGGCAATACCAAAACTCGAAACGTATAGTGTTCGGCTTCTGGCTGCTGATTTTACAATGCCTTTATGGATGAATAGGTATTTAGGATTTTTTTTTATGATTATATGTAAATCTTTTAAAGGATTAAATACAGACAATTCCAGAAATAATATAACTTTTTGTAAAAAGATTTACAGTATAACATTTGTTATTATAGGTTTCGCCATATTGTTATGGTGAAATATGTTAATCTTAAAACAATTTTACAGCCAACGATTATATATTCAACATGAGATAATACATGATAGCGCATGGATGGCAAAAGTATTTTCCTGGAAAATATGGTGCTGTATATTAGTTACATATTTACTGCTGAGCGTATGCAGTTTTTGGTCACAGATTGTTCTCACACGGCTTGGAAATAATTACAAGCGCACATCCATTGGCGATCATATTTTTTATAATTTTGGAATGATATGTAATCAAAGTATGCATAATTAGTATGAATGTTTTATCTTTCTATTTAATTATAAATTGCTACAAAATTTAAAAGTACTACACATTACAAAAGAATTCGTGATAATCTTTTATAGATATCTTCTGTTTGTAACCTTTTATAGAATTTGTATGACTCGAAAATCAGATTTTAAATATGGCAAACGTATTATAATTGGAGGTGCTAAATTTGGAACAAAAGTTAATATCTTTTTAAAACAATACAAAAATAATGTGCTTGCTATAATAAAAAATTTTATCGAAATACAAATATGATCTTTAGTTATGTAATAATGAAAGATTATTTTAAATAAAATAATTATAATAGACAATATCCCCGATATTCTTGTTGGAAGATCGAAAATATTAGAAGTTTCGCTGGGCCTTTTTTGTTCTCTATTGTACATGGCATTTGGCGCCGTATTATTTATTTTTATAACAAAAAGAGTTAATGTTATACCACCATTTCATAATCTGGAGTCTTTGAGGACTGATACTACATATAACGTTGTCGTTTTGAAAAGTTCTATGGGAGATATCGTGTTTCAGGTATTAATAAGAACATTTAATAAAATTTGTCTTGTATATTATGCTTATGTATATATATATATATAAAATCATATATATGAAATTAATATATAAAATTAATTCATTTAAAATAATTCATTTATTAATTCTCAAATTACGCTAAGTAGCTATAAGAATTGTTATTCAGAATATAAAATTGCTTAATATATTTATATTTTCTATACAAATATATAATAGATTGCTTTGAAAATCTATAGAAAAGTGTGGATCAAGAGTTTGTGCAAATAAAAATGGCAAAACGCGTTAACATTGCATTAACAGCCGAACAAATGTACAAAATGGCATGTGGAAAAAGTACAAAGAAGTATATTATGTTACAAGGTGAGGACGAGCACAAAACGAGAGATAAAATATGTCATACGATTCCAATTGGGCCATCGTACGCGAAAATATGGATAGCTTCGGGCATCATAAAGAATTTCAAGTATAAGAGGACTTTCGATCTCGGGTAAATTTTGCAACAGTTATAATATAATTTTATATTACACTAACATAAAATTATGAATCAATTATTTTTATAAGTAGGATACTCAAATTGAAGGAAATTGGATTGTGGGATATATTAAAAGATCGTTGGTTATATGAAAAATTCTTATCGCAGGATATCGATAATAGACCGAAAGGAATTGGATTGGATCAAATTTTCTTAATAATTTTAATGATGTGCTGCGGAATAATAACAGCTCTTATTATTTTTGTAATCGAGAAAATTGTGTACGCTTACAAATTTAAACTATCGTAAATATATTTGATATATTTCTGTATTAGTAATTACGTATTTCTGTATTAGTAATTTCTATATTAGCATTAATCATTAATTATTTAACTTGCATGAGATTAGATAAGATTATCATATTACTGCAAAAGTTGTTATTATGGAATCAAAATTAATTGAAATAAATTATTATATTAATCAAACTCAATTATTTATGAATGTCGTAAAGATTTCAATTTTCTTGTGTATTTCCATATATCGTAATTATGTCTGACATTCTACGTATTATAATTTAATAATATATATAAATAAAATAAAATATATAAATATGATAAAATATTATAAAATATAGAAATAAAATTTAATTATAATGTAAATAAAATTTTATTTTAACACTTAATTATCTACATATTTTGTATATATATTTCAAAGTTAATAATCGATTTTAATTTTATCTTGAGAGGTTTTATTTTATATCGTCAATAATAGTTGTCAATTTGCTTCATCTGACTTTTTAATTGTTGAATGATATATTTTAGCTAAATTCTTTTTATGTAAATCTTTTTATGTATAATATGTAAGTAATATTAATAGCGTTTATAATAGGTAATTATTAATTCACACATTTTATCCATATTATGAAATCACAACACGTTGATAATCTCGATCATTTTGGTTTTTGCATTATCTTCGTCATGTGACAACAAATGATGTACTAATACCGAGAAATTTAACTAAAAAAAGATACATAGTTACCATACAAATCATGATACCGATTAAAATCGATTAGCCATGAACAAAATGACATAAGCAATATATACTACGGAATATATCTCTTGCTCGATCTACATTAAAATTATTATAAAGTGAATACAGTGAATGCATTTCTTTTGCAATTTGTAAACTATGCATTTACTTCCATTGATAATGGAAAGCTCTAATCAAAGTAGAAATAATCAATAAACGAACATTATTATAATATTACTGTACATTTATTTTCTTCTTTCATTCTGAAGAAAATTAGTGTTTTAAAGATTAAATTTGTATCTATATTGCAGAAAAAGATGCTACGATACATCATTACTAATAATTTCATTTATCTCTTATTGTTTCTCACTATCTCATTGTCCTTTATTATTGACAATGCGATCAAGGATAATTTTCGGAATTACATTAACTTGCAATAAAATAAGGTATATCATCACATTGTTGCAAGTCCACAAAAAGCGTACAGAACATTTTTGTGAAACAAACATTATTCCCGACTACGTTATTATCATTCAAAACAATGAACGGTGTGATATGGAATAAGGTAAAGGACTTTCGTGCCGATTTCTAGTGTGCCGATGTATGCTATGCTTCAAGAAGAACGTCTTAGACAAAGTCGAATATTGGAAACCCATAATTTTCAACTGCAAAACTTGACTCTAACATCCTTTCAGGTACGTTTTCGTAAAACGCAAATGAGTTCCTGGATCTCTTGGCCTCTCAATTTTTCTTATTAAAATTAACATGTTAATTTAATTAAAATTAATTAAAATTAACTTGTTAATTTTAATAATTTGATAATTAATTGATTAATAATAACTAAATGATTTTTATATGGAAATATTTATATTACCATGGATATTTAAAGTTATATTCATTAAATATCTTATACTTTTTATATCTAATTTTAATTTACGAAAGTTTATAAAAAATATAATTAGATAATTAAAATAATCACATAAATAAAATGATGAAAAAAGATTATATTTTTAAAAATATATAAATTTATTAACAGTAAATAATATTATAAAAGATTACTTCTTTACATTAAAATAAAATAAAATAATCAAATTATACTGTTCTTATCATTTAATAATGTTATATGAGTTATTAAATAGTTACAATATAAAAAATATAAATTGACAGCAAAGGTGAAGAATAGTTTTCTTAATTACATTTTAGGAATTATTCGAGATACGCTTTTATAAAATGCAAATGGGTTCCTGAATATCTTATGATATTTCAATTCTCTTATTAAAATGAATTTATTAATATCAGTTAGTTAATTAACAATCAGACAATTTTTATCCGAAATTATTTTAATTACTTTAGATATTCAAGCTACATACAATATTTTGCATTTTGTATATATAATTTTAATTTACAAAAAGTTCTAAGAAAGCATAATGAAGTAATTCAAATAACCACATAATGATGAAATATTATATTTTTAATTTAAAAACATATAAATTTAATAATCATAAATAATATCATAAAAAATCTTTTTTTTGGATATTGGGATATATATCAAATTATTTATTGTTCTTCTCTATTATTTATAATAAAGTTAATTAAATAGTTACAATATAAATTGACAGCAAAGGTGAATAATAATTTTTTTAATTGTATTTTAGGAACCATATTTTTTCGAATTTTATGACAATGATACGAAAGTTACAGGATTATGCGGTGAATTATGGAATCTTCTCTCTGAAAGATTGAACTTTACGTAAGATTAAATACATAATTAGATAACTGTATATTATTATAAGATTAATTACTAAATTACTAAAACAATTCAAATGATATAATCTAATGCTTTATATTCTTAGATTACAGCCAATAAGATCAAACGAAACCGGTTTAGGTGGACGAGATAAACTTACTCTTAATTATCCACACGGATTATTAAACGTAATTCTGCGTAATAGAACTATGGCAATACCAAAACTCGAAACATATACTTCTCGGCTCGTGGCTGCTGATTTTACAATGCCTTTCTGGATGAATAGGTATATTAAAGAAAGAATTTTTTTATGATTACACGTATATCTTTTAAATTAGGGGAATATAACTTTATATAAAAAAATTTACTGTACAAAATTTGTTATTATAAATTTCATCATATTGCTATGGTAAAATATGTTTAGCTAAGAATAATTTTACAGCCAACGATTATATATTCATCATGAGGCAGTATATGACAGTACATGGATGGCAAAAGTATTTTCCTGGAAGATATGGTGCTGTATATTGGTTACATATTTACTGTTGAGTGTATGCAGTTTTGGGTCACAGATTATTCTCGCACGGTTTGGAAATAATTACAGATATGCATCCATTGGGGATCACATGTTTTATATCTTTGGAATGATATGTAATCAAAGTATGAATAATTTAATGTGAACATCTCATCTTTCTATTCTTCAAACGTATTCAAATTGTTACAAAATTCAAAACATATCACAACAAGCCACGTTCATAAAGAATTCGTGATAATCTTTTATAAATATTTTCAGTGAAGATTTGTAACCTTTTATAGAATTTGTGAATGATTTGAAAATTAGATTCTAAATATTGTAAACGTGTTATAATTGAAGGTGTTAAATTTTTAGCAAAAATTAATATCTTTTTAAAACATAATATACAGATAATGTGCTTGCTATAATCGAAAATTTTATCAAAATAAAGTGATTTTTAGTTATGTAATAATGAAAGATTATTAATTTAAATAAAATAATTATAATAGGCCATATTCTTGTTGGAAGACCGAAGATATTAGAATTATCGCTGGGTTTTTTTTGTTCTGTATTGTACATGGCATTTGGCGCTGTATTATTTATTTTTATAACAAAAAGAGTTAATGTTATTCCACCATTTCATAATCTGGATTCTCTGAGGACCGATACTACATATAATATTGTTATTTTGAAAAATTCTCTTGGAAATATCGCATTTGAGGTATTAATAAAAACATTTAATAAAATTTGTCTTGTATATTATATTGTATGTCTTGCATATATATATATATATATATATATATATATATATATATATATATATATATAAAATTATAATTTAGTATTAATTCTCATATTATTCTAAGTAGCTATAGGAATTGCTATTCAAAATATAAAGCTGCTTAATGCATTTATATTTCCTCTATAAATACATAATAAATTGCTTTGAAAATTTATAGAAAAGTCCGGAACAAGAGTTTGTGCGAATAAGAATGGTAAAACGCGTTAACATTGCATTAACAGCCGAACAAATGTATAAAATGGCGTGTGATATAAAGAAAGGTACAAAGAAGTATATTATATTCCAAGGTGAAGACGAGTACAAAACGAGAGATAAAGTTTTATGTCATACGATCCCAATTGGGATATCGTACATGAAGATGTGGATAGCTTCAGGCATTGTAAAAAATTTCAAATATAAAAGAGCTATCGATCTCGGGTAAGTTCTGCGGCAGTTATAATAATTATAATTTTATATCACGATAACATGTTATGAGAATGAGTTATTTTTATGAACAGAATACTCAAATTAAAGGAAATTGGATTTTGGGATGTATTGAGAGATCGTTGGTTGTACGAAAGATTATCACTGCGCAGCGAAATACCGGAAGCAATTGGGATGGATCAAGTTTTCTTAATAATTTTAATGATGTGTTGTGGAGTAATAATAGCTCTTATTATTTTTGTTATTGAGAAACTCGTGTATGTTTATAAATTTAAACCATCGTGAATATATTTTACAAGATATGTATTAACAATTAATTATTTAACTTGCATACAGAAACTATCATATTACCACAAAAGTTGTTAAATCTTAAGTTGTTTAAATCATAATCAATGCTGTAATGAATCAAATCTGTTATTTATATCTGTAATTTATATTTGTATTAATTATTATAAAAATTATTATAAACATAATTATTTACGAAGATCGTTAAGATTACATTTCCTTGTATATTTTCATATAATTGATTTTAATTATATCTAATATTCTATGAATTACTTCTATAATTTAATTATAAATGCATAATTTAATTTTAAGTAAATAATATTGTATTAGAAAAAGAATATTATAAATTGTAAAAAAATTATACAATAAACAAAATCCATTGAAAAATCGAGATGATTATCAAATCTTTAAACTTCATAGAATGAAAATGTTATGTTCTTGAACTCAATCAAAAACAAACACTTTAAAACACTGAAAGTATACCAATTATCTTAATGTAATTTACAATATATAAATAGTTTATTAAAAATTATTATTTTTTTGAAAAAAATTAAACATATTAATGATTTGGATGCCACTGAACTAACAATCACTACAATTATTAGAAAATCAGATAAATACGATTATATCGCCTGACATTCATCTACTAACTAATTTACTCGATCGATTCTGGACAATATCGTAACTCCTGTCCATTACGGATGATATCGATCCAGACAGAGAAAAATAAATTATTCGCACATTGTGATATGCATATCTCGTTGAAAACTGCAATCTAAATATATTTTCATTTACCCTACGTTGAATAAATGTAACGATCGTGGAATAAATGTAACGATAGAAATTCGCCAGGATGACTGCACGATTTTTTTTAACGGTCGCAATTTTTCTGTTCGCGATCTCGAACTGCTACGCCGTGCACGGGATAATTTGGCGCAAGCAAAAACAGGAATTCGTGCAGTTGTTTAGTATTCCGCAATTCGCTGCTCTTCAAAAGGAAAATATAGCCAAACACCGTGCAATGGAGATGCAGGATATGAGCGGAGTAGTAGTGAAAGCTGTATATTACGAGGTACAAATGTTATTTTTAAGAAACAGATATATTATTAACATATATTATTTTCTTTCTGACAGATATATTATTAACATATATTATTTTCTTTCGAATTGGAAATTTCTCAAAGAGCTTCAGAGTATAATGCCGAATTTTTATAATTTTATGTTATGTGTTATAGCATTAATTTATTAAACTTTATACTGTTATAATAATTAAATAGCAATCGTAACAATTTTATATGCTTGTAGGTAAAAAATATAGTAATGTTTTACGATAATGATACGAAAGTCATGGGTGCTTGCGGCGAGCTGTGGCCTGTTCTCGCAGAGTATCTCAATTTTACGTACGTTACAACGAATATCTTTTTCTATATGCATTTTTTATATGCGACATTTTTAAGCGACATTTTTTACGTAATAATGTATTCAATTAATGTATTCAATCACTTTAGTTTTATCCCCGTAAAAATCGAGGAGCAAATTTTCGGTACAATGTTGAAAAATGGTACTTACACCGGTTTAGTTGGTATGCTCGCACAAGGTAAAGCGGATGTAATCATGAGAAGTGGATATTTTAAGGATCGCACGAGTCTCGTGGATTACACAACACCTCTTTGGAAAAGCGCGTGAGCTTACCTATCATGTGATAATTAATTATACATTGAAAAACTACTCATTCGTAACAAATTTATTAATTGAGAGTAATTTTTTTCTTGTTTTTAACAAATCAAAAAGGTAATAGATATTTTTTCATTTTTTATACTCGATCATTAACAAACTGATGTTTTAGGTTTCATATTTACGTTCGACCGGAATGGCTATTCGATAATTCTTGGGTATTCACATTACTTTCACCGGAAATGTGGTTTTTTGTAGTATGTTCGTTCGTTATTTTAAGTTTCTTCGGCTACTTTCTGCAAAAAATACCAATGGATAAGAAACATAAAAGAAAAAACTCTGTAGATTTCAGCTTGGGAGATCACTTTTTCTATTCGTTCGCCATGATGACTGCGCGAGGTGCATAATATAATTTAAAAAGAAATTAAGCAAAATCACATCTGAAAAGAATAATTATTAAAAATATGTCCGTGTTTATTTTCAATGAAAATAAGATGGCAGAATGAAAGAGAATCTTTTTTCTTTAGATTTTAATGTTAATTAAGATTCCAACACTTGATTAAAATTATGATAAGATAAAATAATCTACGTTTTTTTATAGGCTACATACCTGATTCTTTTTATAATAAGTTCAAGATCTTGTCGTTATCAAAAAGTATATTCGCATGGTTAATACTATTAGCCTTCAGTTCTCATCTCATATATCGTATGACAAATAAACAAATGACGTTGCCATTTACGGATCTACAAACTCTTTTTAATAATACAAAATACATCTTATTAGCATTCCGCGGCTCATTTAGCTTCGAGGCTCTTAACGTAAATATAAAGATTGCTTACATCTATCTTTTATTGAAATATTACAATAATTAATTAAATAATTATTCATTAAAAATAATATTTCAATGGTTTATACATTTTGCACTAAAATTATAACAAAAAGTTTCTTTCGCTTCTAATTTAGAAAAGCAGTTTTATCTTTAAAATAAAGTGAAAGTAATATAATAAGAATATTTCGTTTTTAATTATTATATAATTTAAAATAATTTTTTACAAAGACTAGATAATATTTTAAGTGTAATTTACAACTTATTATTTTAGAGTAAAAATATAGACTCAAATGGTAAAAATTCGTTCGCGCGTATACATTTCATAGATAATGCGGAAGATATGCAGAGCAAAATTTGCAACAATCTGAAAAAGTACGCGATGTATGAGATCGAGGATCGATACATGGCATTGGCTAGAAGTGGCTGTCCGCTTTATGCCATGGGCAGTTACAATAATACTTGGATAACGTTCGCAGTCAGAAAGGATTTCCGCTATAAGAAAACTATTAATTCCGCGTGAGTATTGCAAGTAAACAATTGCAAGTTATTCTTCTACTATTTAAAAAATTATTGTCTTAAAAATAACAAAAGTTTTCTTATTTTTTCTAGTATCATTAAACTCAGGGAAACTGGATTATTGAATGGTCTTAAAGAGTATTGGCTTGGTAGTAAAAGAACTAATAAAGAGCCGATAAATTTCAAAATGATCGATTTCCATCAAGTTTATTTAATTTTTCTAATATTATGTTACGGGATACTGATATCGCTTGTGATACTCGTTTTGGAAAATATAACGTACTATAATACAAAATAAAAAATACATGATAATATAGACAAATAAGCAAATTTCGAATATACTTCGAATAAAAATATAGTTGTTTTGAAAGCAAATTAAAAGCTTGTAACAATTTTTTTCAAAAATTATAATTGCTTTTTTGACAAACTTTTTTATGCTTCTTTATAGTAAAATTATTTTTTATTTTTTTTCTAATATTTTGACACGTTTACTCAATTTCTATCTATTTAAGATGACATTTAAGAAACATTGAATATAAAATAATATACTAATATTAATAATAAATGTATTAATATAAATGTATTAATATACTAATAATGTAAAAATCCATAATAATTAGTGGATTGATAATTATCAATTGAAATTGTATCAAAAGATTTCGACGCATAAAGTTAACTTCGATCGATTTAATGCTCGCATTAGTCTAATGATGGTACATCAACGTACCATTAAAGCACAATGTAGTTAAAGCGCGATGACATTTTGCGTTAAGCGATAAAAACAAGAATTGATTAGTTACGGATGAGTTATGTACAGATACAAAATCTAGATATAAAGTCTGATGTAAGATCCTTTACAATCTAATAACGTTAAAAGACAAACGCAATAAATAAATGACATACTTTTATGATCATTTTATTTAATTTTTATTATTTATTTTACTTTTGATAAATTTACAATATATAGTTCTTTGCCTAAAATAATTTTTTTATATACATGCCCATTTTTATACCTGCCCATATTCAATGAAATAAAACATTGATAATAAAGTAAAAAAATGATAGCCTAAGAACATGATTTAAAAAGTAAGATCTCATCTAAAGTAACAATGAGTAAAGTAATAATGACATGCATCTTTTTTTATCTATAACGGAAATCAATCAAATGTAGTAAGTTTTTTTAATATCAACTCTAAATAATATATATAAGTCGATACGATAACAAAAAGTTTCGAGTTATATCACCTAACAAAGTAGCAATCCTATAAATCTTTGTGAAGGATTAACAGAGTGTATCCTTATGAGACGACTATTATTTCTGGCTACATTCTATGGAACTTTGCTATCGTCTGAAACAATGAATGGTGTAATTTGGAGCAGGACGAAAAAGACTTTTGTGCCAATTTCCAGCGTGCCGATTTATGCCATGATACAACAAGAACGTCTTAGACAGAGTCGAGCACTCGAAATTCACAATTTTCAACTACAGAATTTGACTTTAACATCTTTTCAGGTACGTTATAAAAATAAAATATCTAATGGTTTTTGTTCTTAACTATTGTCTTAATTTTATGCAACAATTTAGACATCTAAACTTTCCATTCAAATTATTAATATTTTTATATATTTAAAATATATATTAAAAAAGTTATAATAATTTTAAAAATGATATTATAAAAATTCAGATATTCAATATATTGAATACCTAAACTGTATACATTTTTTTTTTAAAGAGAAGAGAGGGATCGTCATCTAGTCTAATTTAATATCTTAAATGCCAGTATTAAGGAACAAGATTAAAAATTTATAAAAAGAAATAATTGAACAATTAATAATTAATAATCTTATATAGATCATGATGAAGGAGTTATAATATTTTTAATTGAAATTATTGGAATATTTAATAATTGGAATTTCTCAATGATTATGAAATGTTTGTGATAGATAAGAAATATTGTTATATTAAAAAAAACATTAAATAAATATTCATTAAAGATATTAAATAAATATATTTGTTAAATAACAATAATTATAAATTAATATCAATAAATTAAATGATGATTTCCTCCATTATATTTCAGGAACCACATTTTTTTCAATTCTATAATAATAATACAAAGGTTACAGGACTGTGCGGTGAAATATGGAATTTACTTTCAGGATCGTTAAATTTTACGTAAGATTGCGCAAATCAGATCACGAGTATGTTATAATTATTAGTCTTTTTAATAATAAGCAATAATCAAAACATATTTCTTTTAGACTGCAACCAATGAAAGTAAATGTAGACGGAATGGGCCCGCCAGAAAAGGACTCGACTTATAAACAGGGATTATTAGGTATTATTTTTCGCAATGAAACCATTGCGATACCAAAAGTCGAAACTTTTAGTCCGCGACTTGCGGCTGTCGACTTTACAATACCTTTTTGGATAAACAGGTTAAATTTTAATTTAAATTTAAATATTCAATCTTTATTCGATAAAAGTAATTTAACATTTGTCCAGAATTTAGAATAAATATTGCATTGGTAATATAACTTTAATAATAATTAAATTGTTGTAATTAAATCACAAATAGTTATGATAATCCTAAAATAATTTCATAGACATCAGTTATATATTCATCGCGAAATGACGTATGACAATACATGGATGATAAAAATTTTCTCTTGGGAAATATGGTGCACCATATTGTTTACGTATATACTTCTGAGTCTCTGCACATTTTTGACACAAAATGTTATACAGAATAAAAATAAGTGCGAAAACGTATCTTTTAATGAACATTTATTTTATAACTTTGGAAATCTCTGTAGTCAAGGTACGTATGACTAAATAAAATTCAGATTTTAATCTTATATTCTTTGTTTTTGGCAAGAAATGATGTTTATATTGCAAAATGTATATATTTACATCATAATAAAATAATAATTATTTGCCGTCGTATTCAAGAATTTGATATTTGTTTATAAAGTTAATACAATTTGAAATTTTTTAATTTTCTTTATAAACAATGATAATTTCTATATTTTAAAGTATATAATAATAATGCAATGTAAAAAATTATTTATTAAAATAATATTAATAATTTTATTCTAATATAAATATAAATATAAATAATATTCTATTATAAAAATAATAAATTATTAATTTGTATAATTGTAATAGGCTACATACCTAAATATCTTCAGGGAAAATCAAGGATGTTGGAAGTTTCACTGGGTCTCTTTTGTTCTATAATATACATGTCATTTAGTGCTGTATTATTTATTTATATAACGAAAAGTATTTTTATACCACCATTTGATAGTTTTGAGTCTTTAGTGACTAAAACTAAATACAATGTCATCAGTCTGAAAGGTTCAACTGGGAGTATTGCATTTAAGGTATATATCGATAATAATCTTAAGTCTCGCATAAGAAATGTACAAAATTACATAAAAAAGTAAACATCTGGTATTTAAAATAATATAATTTAAACATATAAAAATTCTTTATGCATTTGAGGCTTTTAACTTTATGTATAATATTCAAATATTTGAATATTTAAATTTTATAGGTACTTAAGGCAGAACCATTAATAGAAGCAAGAAGAACAAAACGCTTGATCATAACATCAAAAATTGAAGATATGCATAAAATGGCATGTTTTGAGAAAAAAAAGAAATATGCTATATACCAAGGTGAAGATGCGGACAAAGTAACAGGACACATTATGTGTCATTTAGATAAGATTGGGGAACCTTATGCTAAAGCATGGGTAACTTCTGGCATAGTGAAGAATTTTAAATATAAAAGAGCCATCGATCTTGGGTAAAAAAATATTGGTATAAGATAAAAATTCTATATGTAGGCTATATTCTGGAAATTGTGAAAGCTACAAATATTTTTCATCTAATTTCTATCTAATCTATTAACATTTAAAACTTTCATTAAGATTTAATTTTTAGTATAAAATATTTTTCTAATTAGAATGAAAACTGCTTAAGTAAAATAAGATTTCTGTACTTTTAATTATTATTTTTATAATTCTTATACATAAATAATCTTTTTTAGAGAAAAATAAATATAAAGTTGATATATGATTTAATCATCAATTAAACATTAAAAGATTATTTAAGATTATTTAAGATTTATTTGTTATATAACAGATATTATGTAATTCCCGAAATTTTCAGAATATGATATATTCATATTTCTCAAAAATAGAGAGAGATTAAGATATATTACTTATTAACAATAGTTTTTTGTAAAGCAATAAATTTAATATATTCTTAGAATGCAATTTCATATAATAATAAACTCATTATTTTTTATAAATAGGATACTTAAATTGATGGAAGTTGGATTGTTAAATATTTTAAAAGATCGTTGGTTGGAACAAAATATTGAAGAAAATCATCAGAACAATGGCGAAATACGATCAATTGAAATACAACAAGTGTCTTTAGTTATTGCAGTGATATGCTGTGGAGCAATTACTGCTCTCATCATTCTCATAATCGAAAATATCGTATTTGTTTATAAATTAAAACAATTGTGATTATTTTTATTTATACCTTATCGCAAATATATTTTATAGAATTAATTAAATGTAAAAATTTAATCAACAATTCAAAATTATAAACATCATAAGTTTTGTAATTACTAAAATTATAATATATTGCAAGTGTAATTATATTTTTAATTGATGATCAAAATGAAATAACTTTAAAATAATGCATGTACTTTTATAAGAATACTGATCCAAATTTTAGAATATAAATATTCTTTACTATTGCATAAATTGTAATATATTTTGTATTTTAATATACAATATAAACATTACTTAAAACAATTTATGTATATTATAAATTCACGTAGGTTGTACGCTTGCTGTATTTTTTGGAGTTTCTTCTGATAACGTAGCTTCTACAGGATGCGGCTTGATTGGTTTGGGATCACGTTTCTTTTTCGGCAAAACATATGTGCCTCTTCCTACCTCTGCCAAAGTCAACCATGATGGTATAATCTTATCATGAATTCGCCATACGCCATATTCATTAGCTAAATGCTTTTCGAATACTATGTATTCTAATACATCTTTCCTTAAAATCTCGCTCCCTTGTATAATACGGCCAAATCTGTCGTAAATTGCTAAAATCTATAAAAAAATTATTTTAGAATCTGTTTTGAACTCCAAAAAGAGAATAAGTTATAAAGAATGTATTACAAAACCTGTTGTGTGTGAAATCGAACAGTAAGTTGTGCAAAAACGTTTTCTTTTGTCAATATATCTAAAGTTCTTGCGTGCACTAGGCGAGCCGGTTCCAAAGATTCTAAGAACTTCCAGTGCATGGTTTTGTCCATCATATTATGTGTCATTTTCTAAAAATGATCACAATGTGCAGTACCACATAACAACAAACATAGACATTTTAAATTAGCAAATACATGAAATTTATTTTAAACTTACAGGATATGCCATTTCTGTAACATATTGAATTATCTTTCCTTCGTCTTTACTAAAATTTAAAAATAATTATTTTATATTACAAAATATTATTGGAAAGAAAAATTTATTTGAAGAAAAATTTATTGGAAAGAAAAAAATACAAGAGTTATATATTTGCTATTTATGTCTTACGTAATTAAAGCTTCATGTGCCTTTTTATAGATATCTAGAGCCTCTTCTAAAAAAAATGATGTCTTGAATGAATCATCAAACGATTTAATTTGTCTGATGGCCATTAATGATCTGCCTTTTTTCTCCAAAAATGTAAACTTTTGCTTTGCTCCCTATATATTTTCAATACACAAAATAAAAAGTATAAAAAATAATTTAAAGAATGCACGGTCCTTGTTATATTTGAAAGCTATCAAAATGTTATTGCATATTTCATAAAAAGTAAAAATAAAGAGTACATACCTCTTTAGTAATAGAAGAATATTTTCCATCTCCTTCTGGAACAACATAGGGTTCATAAACTGAAGAGGTACAACTAATATATGCTGGTTTTTCCTGCCAAGGTTTCTGTGGAAGAAAACCATGCTCTTTCATACGTGATCGTACTTGTTCCTTATTCATTTTAGAATCATCATCATCATCAAACTTGGGAAGTTTTATTTTAATAACTTTCTCTCTTCTCTCTTTCTTCCATCTTGGATCCCAATGTTTATTTATATGTGCTACTTGTATAAAGTTGGGATAATTATTAGCAGCAACCAATACTGGTAGATTATTCTAAAATAGATTTTCATATTTTGATATATTTCATACTTAAATAAATGATTCTTTAATTACATTAATATATTTTTCATTTATTTCCATTAGACTTAAGGCACTTTAAAAACTAATTATTTCAGCTATAGTAAATTTTAGAAAAATGTTAAAACAATTTTTAAAAAAAATTATTGCAACTTTGATTATAATTTATTGTATTTCGGGAATAAATTTAAAAATTTTATAAAATAACAATTATGCCAACAAATTTAAAATTAAATAAAGAATGTCAAAGTAAATTTCCACGACTTTCAGAGTATAACAATGCATACCTGTAAAAATTTTCCATAAATAATTACTGGGTTCACGTATCTTAATAACATCTTAGAAAATTTGATTGCTTGAGGATTGTAGGAACTATGAAAAGAAAGAAAAATCATTCAAGTTATTGTGAATCAATCATATTTTCATTAAACTTCACGTTTTTCTCATATTCTCTTTTTAGGTTATGTCACGCCGCAAGTGATTGTTAACTATAGACTTAAATAAGCACAGTAAGAATAGGGAGAAATCTGAAAACAGCTATACCTTTTTGTGAAATCACCAAATTCCCTATATATCAATGAAGATAGACGAGTATAGAAGCACGAATATATATATATATATATATATATATTAGCAGAGAGAAGCCTGAGAACGGACAGCGATTTAACTATAACCTTAATATATTACACATATTGAGGAATTTAAGACACAATCTTTTTAGCGATTCTAGATGACGTGAATTTAAACTGAAAGAGAAATTTGGATTATTTATAAGTTAGGAGTTTAAGTGCCGCCAATGTTGTACAGGACAAGACACTGTATTTCAAGCAATTTTTCATTTCATTGGATAAAGAATCAATTAGGTATATAGAGTATAATGTAGGGATAAACAAATTAATTTTTTTATGAAAAAGTTCTTATAAGTGTACGAGAAGTTTGAGGAGATAGTTTAATATATTGTATGTCTGATTGTAATAATGAATGCTCCATTAAACCTCATTTTTAATTGGAATTGTATTTTTTTATAAACAATTTAACCTAATATTATTCATTACTTAATGAGAATTAATATATTTATTATTAATATTTAATAAGAGAAAATCTCTTTTCAAGCATAATTCTGATATTATTTAATATTCATGTTAATTTTTTTAATTTTTTTTAGAGAACATTTGTCACAGAACTACATCAGTTGCAATGCACCCTACAGCCGATTCTGATATAAATACTGATGTAAATATGCATAATAAGAGACCTATAGATGATGACAGCGAGAATAAAGCTAAGGTACAAAAGACGGAATCAGAAATGGTACAAAAAGTAAAGAGAAAAAATCACGCTATGTTGCTAGGCTATGTTGGCAAAGATTATTATGGTATGCAAAGAAATCCTGGTATGAAAACTATTGAGGAAGATTTGATTACAGCCTTATTGAAGGCAGATTTAATAACTATGAAACATTTCGACAACATTCGTGCCATCAATTTTCAAAGAGCTGCTCGTACAGATAAAGGAGTATCTGCGGTTAGGCAAATTGTTTCGCTGAAGCTACGTAAGATGAATATTTTAAATATTAATCTGTTTTTTAACGTTTTTTTAGCGTTTTAGAATTATTATTTAAACATAATAGAAATCAGATTTACTTTAACATGTCACTTTTAAGTTATTATTAATAAAAGTTGAAATTTTTTTGTTATTAAGTTAAAAACAAGATAGAAAATAAATTTTAAAATATATGTATATTTATATCATTGTATTATAAATATCAAATTTTTTTTATAGCAGAGAAGGCTGATAAAACAGTAATAAATGAATTCTTACCTGAAGTGATCAGAGTATTTGGGATAAAACGAGTGACAAAAGGTTTTAACAGTAAAAATCAGTGTGATGCACGTACCTACAGATATATTATTCCTTCTTTTGCATTTGCGCCAGAAGACCAGACTTTGTTAAAACTTGGAAAAGAAGTTAATGAAGATGAGAGAATCAAACAATTATCAATTATTGATGGAAAACCATATACTGATTATAGATTATCTTCGGAATCTTTAGATAAATTAAATTCAATTTTGAAGCTTTTAGAAGGTTCTCACAATTTTTCATAACTTTACATCAAAAGTGTAAGTAATATTCAAAAGAATACGAATGTGTGTGTGTGTGTGTGTGTGTGTGTGTGTGTGTGTAGAGTATTAAAAATTGGAGTACATTTTGTTTAATTCAGGAGACCGTTGGATCCACGCGCACGACGCTATATAATTAGCTTTCAATGTTCAGAAACGTTCGTTTCAAACGATATAGAATTTATAGTATTGGAAGTTAAAGGACAAAGTTTTATGCTGCATCAAATCCGAAAAATGATAGCAATGGTAATTGCAATTGTGAGAAATATGATATCCGAAGAGACAATTGAAGAAGCATTTAAAACAATGGATAAAATGGACATACCACTTGCACCCAGTTTAGGATTGTGTCTGTGTCATGTAAGAAAATTTAATAACCATTGTATTGACGAAATTCATTAATTATTATAATAATCATAATATAAAAATTAATATTTAAACTTATAATATTTAAACTTATAAGTTTTTATTATCTTTTATAAGATTAATATTAAATCTTTTAAAGAGTACTTAAAGAATAAATATATCAATAGGTACATTATGATCATTATAGTAAAAGATATGGCACAGACGGTCTTCATGAAACCTTAGATTGGAAAGAATGCGAAGAAGAAATAGAAAAATTTCAAAAAACATATATCCTGCGACATATAGTGGACACCGAGATTTCAGAACAGACGTATCCTTTTTTTGAATAGAATATATATAATAAATTTTTCTTTTCAGATACCTTTTTAGATACCTTAACTTAATATTATATAGAACATTAAAATGGTTAGCGGGCCTTCCTTTTTATTCATTTAGCAACAAAGATGTTCTTCCTGTGGATGATGATGAAAAACAAGAAACTATGCATGACGACATTCAGATGTAAAAACGTTTAAATGTACAGCTCTGTACTTCTGTATGAAATAGACTAAGAAATATTAAAAAAAATTTTTAAATTACCTTTAATAATACTTGCTTGCAAGATTAATCATAAATTTCCTGCAGTGATCAAATAATTGTATGTAAAACTAAAAGCAGCAATGATGTCAGAGTTCTTTAACCGAATATACTGATACAAAATGGATCTATCGCAAAACTATCTCGTAAAATTCTTTGAATCGAATTAAAAATGTATGCATACGTGTATTTTGTCGGTTTATTTGCGGTTTAGATAAATTTACAGCAAATAAATCGAACATGTACTTTCCCCGTGCATGTGTCTACTAAATACACATATGTAAAGATGACGCGCGCGCATTTTGTCCCGTTGGGTAATTCCAGTCTCGTAGCATCCAGTAGTTGATCACAGTAAATGATCGAGCGTCGAGATATAAGGAAGAACGAATCGTAATTGTTGGCATTTCGCACACGGAGTGTTTTACCATGCGGATTATTCAACAGATTTTCACATTGTTAATCATTATTTATGGTAAGTAAAAATATGACGCCAACATTTTTTTTTGTGATATCGCGTTTATAACAAGTGTTAGACAAAATTGCAAATTTACAAAAATATCGCGTACCGTAGCTTTCTTCCCTGAAAATTTTTGGTTAATTAATTTGATATATCAACAAAATGTTAAAGATAATGTTCTTATACATAAATATAGATTACTAATAAAATATTGAAAATTATAAAGCTTTAAAAATGTAGCTGTTTTTTCTACTGATGTTAACATCATTTTACATTCCTTAAATTCTAATTTTCTAAGTCTAGACAAATTTATAGTGACTAAATCGTAGATAAATAATATAACATATGTCATGTGTTTTAGAAAAATATCAAATATTTTGAAATATCTAATTTATTTGGAATATTATATTTAATTTACTTGTATTATAAGTTTTAGTATTAGTAAAATTTTACTTTGCATTTTCTTTTAATCATCATTAAACGACTATGTAATTAATATGTAATTAATTATTATATTTAAATCATTTTTAAATAAAATAATAAATATTTTTTAATAAATTTTTTAATAACTTATTTTTATCAGTTTGTGAAGGGGAACTTGGTATGTTAATATTTCGTATATCCATATTTTAAAAGATTTGCGAAGTAATCTCAACCAGTTTCAGAAACCAGTTTAGTGACCTTGAACCTCCGTGTAGAAGAATTTATCTTGCCAATATGTTTACTTATATTGGTAGATAATAAGCGAAGATGATACATGGATACATAATTTATGTTTCTAACACATTTATGAAATTTATTGAAGTATTTCTTATTGCTAGCCAATATGATCACTCATCAATGTATAATCAATGATAATATTGATTTTTCTATTATAAGAAATATGAGAATCAAACAGAATCTCCTATTATTAAAAAAATTTTAATTATAATTATAATAATTTTGATAAATGACTTTAATTTTCACATGCATAATTATTCGACACATATATAAAATAATAAACTAATAATAATAAAACTTTTATAATTTAGTGGAATCATTTTTTCGGGTTTTACAGTGTGCACTGGTCATGGATATGCACAAACTAATAATAATTGTGGGTAAGTATTTACACATCGAAATAATATAATAATAGTCTAAGTAAATAAATATTGGCTAATTTAATTATTCCAACAGGCCAGAAAATTTTCTATGCAATAATGGAGAATGTTTAGAGGGTGGATTGTTATGTGACGGCAAAGCTGATTGCAAAGATTCGTCCGATGAGACAGAGGCCAGATGTAAAAATCCAGATATTCAGTGTCCAAGCTACGCCTTTCGATGTAATTATGGTGCTTGTATAAGCGGGGATCTCGTTTGCAATGGATTTCAGGATTGCGTCGATAATAGCGACGAAACTCAACCTCAGTGCAGGACAACGGGAGGAAATCAAACGAGAAAACCTGCAGTATGTAGATCGGGTCAATTTACGTGCAACAATGGCAACTGTATTAATAGTACCAGTCTATGTGATGGAATCCGCAATTGCGCGGATGGCTCCGATGAGACATCAGAATGCGCATCGTTACCGTGAGAATCTTAAAAATATTTACAATACGACTTACATATTTTATATATTGATTAAACGGACAGGAAATAAATATTTTATAATTGTAATTTATTTGTTTAGCTGTTCGGCGGGTGCTTTTCGTTGTGCTTATGGAGCTTGTATCGATGGTGATTTAAAATGTAATGGAGTGGACGATTGCGCCGACGGATCCGATGAGAATTCATCATCATGTGGTGGAGTTGTATGGCCAACATCTTTACCGCCGACCAGACCAACACATCCATCACCACTAACTACTATTCAACCACCAACTTCACCAACAAGTTCTTCTGGCAGAAAGTCTTGCAGAGCGCCATTACAACCGCAAAACGGTCGCTGGAAATTACACGAATCACAATGCCCAAATGGACAATGTACCATTCCAGAAGGAACAGAACTAGGATTAGGATCTCATCTAGTCTATTCTTGTAATGAGGGACATAATCTAAATGGTTCGGCCGATGTGATTTGCAGTTTCGATGGGAAATGGCTGAATATACCAGTTTGCACAGGTATTAAAATATATAATAATCATATGTTATTATTTATTTTTGAAGTGAAGATTTAATTATTATATTTTTAGAGCACAAATTTTATATATATATATAGATCATAAACTTGAAATTTACCAATTCTGAAAATAATGAATTTTATTGTATGTTAATTATGTATTCAAAATGTTGACAGAAATACGCTGCAGAGGTTTAACTACAGCATCAGTCGACGCAGCATGTACAACATATGCTGAAGATCGTTGGGTACCATGCGAATCTCCAGTTCTACCAGGAACAAAAGCGACATTGACCTGTAAAACAAGTTATCGACGTGAAACTAGCCTACTTTCCAGACAAAGAAGCAATGTGAAATGTAATACAAATGGTCAATGGGAACCAGAACCTATAACATGCGTTCCAGGTCCGCTCACGATAAACATTTATGTCAATGACACTAAGCTTTCATTCCACGGTAGTCTTGATAGAAACAATTCTACATTTATTGAAATTTTGAACGACAGAATCATTATACATACGAATGTCAATGATTTAAATTATCCTACTCTAGATGTTAGAATATCAAAATCAAGTAACAATGTAACAACAGATGAAGCTTGGATATGGTCTTGAAAAAAAGAATGCTAGCATAATTATAAATCTGTTTTTAGTGTTTTTTAGTAATGATATATATAATTACTAAAAATCAAATCTGTTTTAATAATCATATATGTATATATGTATATATGTAATTAGTAATCATATATGTTATTATTCTTATTGAGATAATTCACATATCTGTATCATTTGGTATTATATTTTCTATTTAAATTATAATTTCAAATTATTTCCTAATTGTGAACGAAAGTTTTAATGAAAATATTAAAATCTAATTTTTAACATTGTGTACAAATTTATATATTATTAAAAGATTAAGTCTTGTATCATCGTGTTGAAATTATTTCAATCGAAATATTATTGTAGTTTGCGGCATTCAACCTGTTGGACTTAGACCAACTGCTGTACATGGCTATCAGCCAAATATTACGGAATTTCCGTGGCATGCCTCGCTGTATCGCGATATACCGGGCAAGTCAAAAGAATATTTCTGTGGAGCATCTATCATTCAAGAAAATCTCTTAATAACAGCAGCTCATTGTATATATGATGACAACGCTAGGCGAGTGAGAGACCCTAGCAAGATTTACGTAGTAACCGGAAACATATTTCGTGATTATGATAATTTCTTTCATGATGATCGCATCGTTAAAAAGAATAGGGTACATACATACATTTGCAAATATATATAATACAAATGCATTGATGCAAACTAATTTGTAGAGAATAGAATAAATTGCCGATCATAAACGTTTACATAATGATTTTTTGCAGGTGAAAAGTATTTATTATGAACGCAGTTATATAGGACTCACAGGAAATTATGGCTCGGATATCGCAATATTAGAACTTGTCGAACCATTTGTATTGACGAGTTTTCTGGTTCCTGTGTGCATAGATACTTTAAATAGGAATTTATTGGAAGAGGGAACTTACGGAAAGGTAGCAGGATTTGGTAGAACCGCAGATGGTGAAACCAGCGCAGTTTTACAAGCTCTTATAGTGCCATATGTCCCACTCAGCAAGTGTAAGGCAGAAAGTAAAATTGCTGATACGGAACGATATATCACTATTGACAAGTTTTGTGCAGGCTACACAAATGGTTTGTATGAAGGAATTATTACATAAAATATATTAAATACATACTTTTTGACTAACCTTTTAGATATCAGAAATATATTTTGAATATACAATTATTAACAATCATTAACAAAAGTTATAGAAGATAATAAAGAAAAAAGAACTATTTTTGAATTCAAGAATTATTATTTTGTGCAATGATTCGAGAAGAAAGAAGTAATTTACATATTTGTTATACATTTCAGGTTCTGCTGTTTGTGATGGTGACAGTGGTGGTGGTTTAGTCTTTCAAACTAATAATTTGTGGTATCTCCGAGGGATTGTCAGTGTTTCTCTCGGCACGATACAGCAAGGTGGATCTTCTTATTGTGATCCCAACACATATTCTTTATATACACAAGTATCTAGTCATATTTCATGGATACAAGATGTAATTGTAAAAATAGAACAAAATCGGACGCATTTATTATACTCAGACAAGACTCAACCATTATAGATGTTTTTCCGAATTTGTAATGGAACCACCGATTATTATGTGCAGTCATCGAATTTAAAAAGAATGTTTATCTTTTGCTATGCAAGTTTATATTATTAACTGTTAATATTATACATTCCTTAGTGAATGTTTATACAAGATGGCAGCTCTGTTGAATGGAGTAGTGACTTAAAATAGTTTAATTCTTGTTTATGTTGAGATTAATTTCATAATTCTGGATGTTCGATTCTAATAATTATTACCTTGTAAACATAAATAGATGATAGGAAAAATAAATTGATAGAAAATGAAAGTCAATTGTTACACATATCTTCTATTTTGATTTTATGTATGCCAGTTATAAAACATTTTTATATAAAAAAGATCTTTACGCATGATTACTTATACATAATGTACATTTTATTATATTTTTCACTATACGATAGCTACAGGAAAATAATTTATAGTAAAAGAGATTTTGTAAAATTACTCCATAATTCTATAATTATATAAATATGTGTGATTATTGCAACTTACAGAGGTTGTTCTAATCCCTTTTCTTTACTGGATGGCACAGATGGTAGTGCAGTTACATCTTTGCCAAATGAAACTAAATTACCTGTATCACATATATTTCATGAATGTTAATATGCATGGTAATACATATATATATATATATATATATATATATATATATATATATAGTAGTAGTAGTAGTAG